TAATTATACTTAATTATAACTTCATTATTTTTCTAATGTTGATATATATGTAATATAATTAATGAATAAAATAACATCCTAGCTTTTCAAATTCTATATATGTAATAATTGTAATATTAAATTAATAATTTGATTTCAATATAAGATACAAAATACAGTAAAATTTTATGCATATGGATCTGGGTTGAGACACAATCAGGTGTTACACAATTTAGATTGTATGGAAAGACATCTTGAGGCTTGCAAATTACAATCCAGAAAACAAAGGTTTTAAGTGACATCTTTGTAACTTCTGGTTTCCAGGTCAGGTAAATTGTGAAGGCTTTGTTTAATAAACATTGCATAATGAAGAGCTTAAGGAATCTTCGTTATTGTACTCTATCTCATACTTGTATAAAAGAATATTTCCTTAGAAATTTTATAACTTCATTGCACAGTGTCTGATATATAGTGACTATGATAGACACTGGTAGAGTATGGTAGTGACTATATACCAGAGACTGTGCAATGAAGTTTAAATAAATTTTCTTATTCATTCCTCAAATTGATTTTATAATATAACCACTATTATCACACCATTTTATATAAGGGGAAAATGAGGGCTTTAAAAAATTTAATAGCTTGTCCAAAATTTCCTTGCAGACACCAAAACAATAACTCTAAGACACAAAGTTGAGGACACAGTAGTCTCTTCATCATAGCACTTTTGATTCAAATAGTATTTAAAAATAAAATTCCAAAAAATGATCAGAGGTTTCTAAAATCTCACCAAGTAGGAAAGTATGTTATAGTTCATCTATAGGACTCTCCTGCGCTGTTTATTCTGATTCTAGTTAGTCCTTAGGGACCACTTTGGAGCATGCTCTCTTTCCTTTTATATGAAAACTTGTTTATTTGCAGGAAGTTTTAAGTCCTGTCTCTCTTTTTGGCAGAAATAATCCCCATTATTCTTATAAGATGTGGTGTCTTACCTTCTCAGTCTTTAGGAAGTTTGCTTCTGATGTGCGGTTGTTTGCTAATGCCTTTACAATGGGACAATGGGAGAGTTAAAATAAGAAACTATTAAAGGCATCAGAATAAATTAAAGAACATGAGATCTTGATGATAGATGGATGTCAGCAGAAAATAAGGCCTAATAGAAGAAAAAGAAAAGATTACTAAAAAAATACACTTCAAATATTGGCTTAGTGCTGGTCTAGCCAATACATCTTAAAATTAGTTTTATGCTTCCTTTTCTTGATTCCTGAGTCATGCACAGAATATAATTATTTTGTAGTGGGGAAATTGTTCTTGTTTGCCTAATATTCTTTACCTTAATGTTTTAGGATACTTTCCTAATGTATTTTTATCTTTTCTATTAAAGTAAAATTATAAGAGCATTTGAGGCTCTTGTTACACGTAAATGCAAGCCCTGGCGAAAGAACGCTATAACTTATTAATGTATTGATTTACCTATTTTAAAATAACAGGTAAATGTTACAAAAGCCATTCCAGTTTTACTTCACTCATTTCATTAGGCACAGAATTTAAATTGTTCACTGATATTTTACCTAGCTCATAGTCTTAATTATTAACTTAATGTTTCATGTTTTCAATTTTACAAATATAATAGAAAGGTAGATTTGAATTGTTCTGGTATTCAAAGAAACATATAGCTTACTAAAAGATATCACTAATAGCTAATTAATAGTGTAAATATGAGCAATGACACATCAATATAATTCACATTCTCTAAGAAGTCACAAAGAGAAAATTTCATATGAATTGTATAACAAGAAGTCTCCCTGAGTTGAAGAGAAATGAATATAAGACTATTTATGGCTTCACATGGAACCAATCACCAAAAATAAGAAAGTATCATGAGGCGACGTTAGAATTTAAGTTGTTTTTAAAAGGCCATATACTTGAACAGTAATCATGAACAGTTAAAGCAGATAAGATCGTTCATTCAATTAAAAAATTATAAAACCTCCTACTCTGTTCAAGGTGTGGCCCTGAGCAGTTGGGACATAAAGATGAGTAAGGAATGATTCTTACGTGGAAGATTTAGTGTGGGACATTAATAATTTTAGTCCAATTTGATTAGTGCGATGAGGAGAACTGAAGAGGCCTTGAGAGCAAGGAAGAAAGAACCCTAATCTAGTGAGCATGTTCTTAAGAAGCTAAGGTTGTACAAGGTCTACTGTGAGTAAATTATGTGTACCTCAAACTACATGTAACATTGATTGAAAACTTCATGTGTACATGGTAAATTTTGGAATTCTATTTTGTTTGCTATTTTATTTCCAGTGCCTATTATAGTGCCTGACGTGCAAAAGTTGCTCAAAAATATATTTGGTGGAAAAAAATTACTTTTCCCTGTGACAATTCACTAAATAATTCATCAATACATTAATTATTCATTTAGAATATTTAATCCACCCACTAAAATTACAAACTTTGGGATCTATATAGCTGTTCATTGGAATGAGTGAAATTATATTTATACTAAACCAAGCTACCAAACTGTTGGAAACATCACCTCCTGAAGTGGAAAATATTCTTGAGTCATTATTACTTTAGTCCCATATGGGAATGAATGATAAATTATAAATACAAAACTAGAACTGCACAGATTCACTGGGGTTTGTAGATGAGAAAGTAAGTAGAATCAGTACAAAAACAACCATGAGCTCCTCTGATTGGAGAGACCTGAAATGCAAAGGAAAGGCCGAAAACATTAGCCACTCAATTTGTTATTCTTTTACATTTGTTTGCTCAGTCATTTCCGTTTGGTGTTAATATAAATTAGAATTAAAAAGATGATTTTAAAAATTAATAAAAACTTTTCCCTAAGTGCCAGAACAATAAATAATTACTGGATGTTCTCCTAGGCCTTATAGAAGCTGAGAGATTCCTAACAGAAATACATGAGCTCTTGAGGATTAATTAAAATAAAAGTAAAATTTAAAGTTCATTTGACCAGCTTCGATATCTTGGCAAATGTAAATAATGCTGCAGTGAACATCGTGGTGCTTATGTTCTTTCAAATTAGTGTTTTGGGCTCCTTCAGACATATTCTCAGAAGTGGGACTGATGGCTCAAAAGGCAGATCCATTTTTAATTTTTTGAGGTATCTATACAGCTTTCCACAATGGCTGTACCAGTCTGCATTCCCATCAACAGTGCAAAAGCATTCCCTTTCTCCACATCCTTGCCAGCATTTGTTGTTTGTTGATTTATTGGAAATAGCCATTCTGACAGGTGTGAGATGGTATCTCACTGTGGTTTTAATTTGCATTTCTCTGATGATTAGTGACATTGAGCATCTTTTCATATGTCCATTGGCCATCTGTATGTCCTCTTTGAAGACATGTCTATTCAGGCCATTAGCCCATTTTTAAATTGGGTTGTTTGTTCTTTAGGTGTTGAGTTTTGTAAGCACTTTGTAAATTTTGGATATTAATCCCTTATCAGAGGTATTGGTAAATATGTTCTCCCATTCTGTGGATTGTTTTTATTATGTTGATGATTTCCTTTGCGGTGCAGAAAATTTCTAGTTTGATATAGTCCCATTTGTTTATTTTTTCTTTAGTTTCCCATGCTTGGGGAGATATATCTGATAAAAAATTGCTGCAAGCAATGTCTGAGATTTTGCTGCTTATGTTTTCTTCCAGGATATTTATGATTTTGGGTCTAACATTAAAGTCTTCGATCCATTTTGAATTTATTCTTGTGTATAGTATAAGAAGGTGGTCTAGTAACATTTTTCTGCACATACCTGTCCAATTTATCCAACACCATTTATTGAATAAACTTTATTTAGCCCATTGTATGTGTTTGCTTTTTCTGTTGAATATTGACTATAAAAGTGTGGATTTATTTCTGGGCTCTCTATTCTGTTCCATTGATCTTTGTGCCTGTTTTTATGCCAGTACTGGGCTGTTTTGATTGCTATGGCCTTAGAGTACATTTCAATATTAAGTAGCATGATTTCTCCAACTTTGTTCTTTTTTCTCAGGATTGCTGTTGCTATGTGGGGTCATTTGTGGTTCCATATACATTTTTGAAAATTTTGTTCCAGTGCTTTGAAATATGCCATTGGAATCTTGATAGGAACTGCATTGAATCTATGGATTGCTTTGGGTAATATGGATGTTTTAATGATGTTAATTTTTCCTAACCATGAACACAGTATATGCTACTACTTATTTGCATCTTGTTCAATTTCTTTTTTCAGTGTCTTATAATTTTCCAAGTACAAGTCTTTTACATCCTTGGTTAGGTTTATTTCTAGGCATTTTATTCTTTTTGAATCAACTGTGAATTGGATTGTTCTCTTGATTTCCCTTTCTATTAGTTTCTTATTGGCCTATGAAAATGAAACTTATTTCTGGATAGTAATTTCATAACCAGTTATTTAGCTGAATTCATTTATCAGTTCTAGTGGTTTCTTGGTAGAGTCTTTGGGGTTCTTTACGTACAGAATCATGACATCTGTGAATAAAGACAATTTTTCTACTTCCTTTCTAATTTTGATGCCATTTATTTCTTCTTGTCTGATTGCTGTGGCTAGGACTTCAAGTACTGTGTTGAATAAGAGTGGTGAAAGCAGGCATCCCTGTGTTGTTCCCAATCTTAAGGGAATACTGTAGTTTTTGCCCAAGTGTGCATCAATAGATGAGTGGATAAAACAACTATGGGACATTTGCACAATGGAATACTACTCAACCATGAAAAAGAAGAAAATTGTATCCTTTGCAACAGTATGGATGGATCTAGAGAGCATTATGCTAAGTGAAATAAGCCAGTCAGAGAAAAAGAAGTACCATATGAATTCACTCATATGTGGAATCTAATGAACAAACTGAACATGGGGACAGCCTCATAGATGGAGAGCAAGATGACAGCTAGTGGTGAGGGTGGGTTAGGAGGTGGAATGATTGAGCAAAAAAGAAAAAGGACTCATGGACATGGACAACAGTGTGGTGATTGCTAGGGGTGCTATTTCTTTTTTGAGCCAGGGGAGAGCACTAATGCAGTACCCTACTACCACAAATTATGCAGTTGAGTTTCCCACATTTGGGAAAATTGCAGGGGTCAGCACATCAGGAGTGCAATGGACAAGCCTTGCCCTGGGAAAACGTCCTTTGTGATCATGGTATCTCCCCTGACAGGCAAATGTGCTAGGGGTGGTATTAAGGGAGCTAAAAGGTAATGTAAAAAAATAAAATAAAGATTAAAATTAATCAAAAAATACATTAAAGAATAAAAAAATTGTTTGCTTGTTTGTTTTGTTGATTAGTTTCCACTTATAGCAAAATATAACCAGAAACATTGAAATAAAGGACAAACTGACAATAACCAGAGGGTAAGGAGGAGGGAGATAACAGGAAAAAGAAGGGGTAGGGTCCTCAAGGAACATCTATAAAGGACCCATGGACAAAGCCAAACGGGGTAGGGTTGAGGATGGGTGGTGGGGGTGGGTGGGGCAGGGGAGAGTGGTGAGGGGAAATAGAGACAACTGTACTTGAACAATAAAAAAATAACAAAAATATAAAGTTTAATTTATAAAAAATGTCATTCTAGAAATATAAATACACATGAAATTGCTAGAAAGAAAGAAAAGGCAACATGGTCAAATAGCTGTCCATTAGTAACTCCCTTGTATTGAGTTTCAGTGGGAAATGTGGGAAATGTAGGAAAGGTATTTTAAGACTCCATTCAGCCTGCAATAAATCATCATGACCTTATATAAACTGTTAATTTTATTTAGGTTAAAATTTTTATGTTTTTCCTGCTTACCTGTGAGTTCACCTATCATTTTCTTTCACTATTCTATTTTTATACCTGACATATACTCACTTTAGAAAATGTTAGTCTTCCAGTCAAGATGGTGGTATAGACAGACCTAGATCACCTCTTTGAACAACCACATCAAAATTACAATGAAAATATAGAACAACTATCACTAAGAACCATCAGAAATCAAGTTGAATGGTAGCCTGACAACTACAGAGCTAAAGAAACTGCATCCATCCAGACTGGTAGTAGGGGCAGAAACACCGAATGAGCTGGTTCCACACCCACATGCGGTGGATAAAAATTTGGGAGGGATATCATGGGAGTGAGTAGACCCAACCCCACACCAGGCCCCCCAGCCCAGGGTTCCAGTGCTACGAAGATAAGTCCCCACAACTTCTAGCTGAAAATCCAGTGGTGATTTAGTCAATGGAAGAAACTTCTGGTGCCCCAAGCAGTTCCACTTAAAGAACCTATACACAGAATCACCCACACAGACTCACTCCCTTTGAGCTCCAGCACCAGGGTTGTAGCTTGAAAGGTACCAGTAGCATATTGGGAGAAATTGAAATGCTTGGCATCAGGGCAAGCAGAGACCATTGTCCCTTTTCTAAACCCTCCCCACATAGAGCCACATAGCCAGCAGTCTGGTGCCATGTCTGAGACTCCATCAACCTGGCTAACACTGTTTGACCTGCCTAGGAGATCCCCAGAGACTCTACCCTACCCACCTTACGGGCTCACTCAAGCTACTTTTCCATATGAATGGCTGGTATTGGCTCATGCTGCACAACTTCCTACATGCTCTCAAACAAGCAATAGCTGGCATCAGTGAGCCCCAGGCCCAGCACTAGCAGCAGCCAGTTTAAATTCACAACTTGGTTTCACCTGGGAATCTCCAAGCCCAGCATAAGTAGCAACCATCTCAGAGTTGCTTTATAACTTAGGCAGAGTCCCCTGGGCAAAACACAGGTGGGGACTGACCTTGTCCTTCACCACCTGAGAAACACCAGGACCAGCACACCCAGTGGACAGCTCCAGACCCTGCTCCTGCACAGCTGACCCTCCTTAGAGGGCAGAAGATAGTAGTCAGTGGTCACAGCCAGTCCTTGCAACTAACTAGCCTGGGTAAATACCTCCCATTGACTGGCTAATAGCAACCAAGTATCACCTACAAAAAAGAGGGTTTACATAGCACATACAGAGGATGTACCTCAAGTACCAGCTTGGGTGATAGGGGAAGCTGTGCCACTCTGCACCTACAGGACACCTACTATTAATATACCCCATGATAAAAGGACAGGGAGCAGTAGCAGCTCTACCTAATACATAGAAACAAACAGAAGGAGGCTGCCAAAATGAAGAGACAAAGAAACATGGCCCAAATGAAAGAATAGATCAAAATTCCAGAAAAGGAATTAAACAAAATGGAACAAAGCAATCTATCAGATGCAGAGTTCAAAACACTGGTTATAAAGATGCTGAAGGAATTTAGTGAGGACCTTGGCAGCATAAAAAAGATCCAGTCGGAAGCAAAGGATACACTAATTGAAATAAAGAACAATTTACAGGGAAATAACAGTAGAATGAATAAAGCTGAGAATCAATTCAATGATTGGGAACATAAAGAAGCAAAAAACCAATCAGAATGGCAAAAAGAAAAAAGAACTCCTCTCCCCCAAATTAGGGTAGTATAAACAGCTTCAGGGACAACTTCAAGCAGTTAACATTCACATCATAGAGGTGCCAGAAGGAGAAGAGAAAGAGCAAGAAATAGGAAATCTATTTGAAAAAATAATAAAAGAAAACTTCTCTAGTTTGGTGAAGGAAATAGACATGCAAGTCCAGGAAGCACAGAAAGTCCTGAACAAGATGGATTCAAAGAGACCTCCTCCAAGATACATCATAATTAAAATACCAAAGCTTAAAGATAGAGATTAAAAGCAGCAGGAGAAAAGCAGATAATTACCTACAAAGAAGCTCCCATAAGACTCAGCTGATTTCTTAAAAGAAACTTTTCAGGCCAGAAAGGATTGGCAAGAAATAGTCAAAGTCATGAAAAGCAGAGACCTACAGCCAAGATTGCTCTACCCTGCAAAGATACCATTTAGAATTGAAGGGCAGATAAAGAGCTTCCTAGACAAGGAAAAGCTAAAGGAATTCATCAGCACCAGGCCATTATTATATGAAATATTAAAGGGACTTATTTAAGAAAAAGAAGATCAAAACTATGAATAATAAAATGGCAATAAATACATGCTTGTCAACAATGGAATCTAAAAACCAAAGTAAACAAAGGAAAACAGAGACAGAATCATGGATACAGAGAGCATTTTGATAAGGGTGTGGCGGAGTGAAGAGGTGAGGGGATTAAGAAGTACAAATAGGTAGTTACAGAATAGCCAAGGTTATGTCAAGTACTGTACAGAAAACAGAGTAGCCAAAGAACTTATATGCATGACCCATGGACATGAACAATGGTGGGGGGATTGCCTAAGGGAGTGAGGGTTGCTGGGTTGAGGGTGACAGAGGGGTAAAAATTGGGACAAACTGTAACAGCATAATCAATAAAAAAAGAGAGCGTTATACAAAACCTGGATGGTTGCCTTGTAGAAAACATTTTCTAATTAAATGTTGAAATAGAATCTAATGTGAAAGTTATTTATCCAACTTGCCTAAGTATTTGGTATGCTCTTGCCAGTTTTGAAACTGAAGCTAGAATAACCACAGTGGTTCAGTCATATGCTTGATAACGCAGTTTATTGTGCTCATAATAAGTCTCTTTGATGGGTGCATGCATTGTTCCTTGTGTAGAAGAAAAAATTTTCATATTATCATATTTTATGCTCATCCACTGATTAATATATGATATACTGGGGCACATAAAAGACATGATCAGTGAAATTTGGCTTCTTAATTTATTACATTAAATATGACTGTTCTGATTGCAAAGATTAACAATTGTTAAGTATTAATAGAAAGTCCTTGAGTTTAGGAATTTTAGATACTTCAGCTAAAAAAAATTACCACATATGCTATGATCCTAGTTAACTTGTAATTCTGTCCTAAAAATTCTTCATCCCTGACTCATATAAATCCTTTCTGCTCAGATTCCACTTCACCATATAATTAGGACAGTCCTAACTATAGGTCATCCCACCACAGACAATAAAAACGGCTTTCAGCCATCTGTGCTTAGCAAAGTCATTTTTTCCAGTCCCTTAGTAAACCACATTTTCTAAGCAAGCAAACAATTTATGTTGATTCTATGGTCAGTAGAGTATCCATTTATATCAAAAGTCATAAATGTACATGATGAAAATTTATCCTTCAAACATCAAAAATACAGCTGATTTTGACCTGATAAAAAGCACATAGGAAAAGTTCCCAGTTGGGTTAGGCCAGAGTAGTTTCAAAATAAATGAAGAAGTCAAAAGATGGACCCTAGAACCAGCTCCTGGCCTTTGATTTTTATTTTCTTTTTTATTCATAGCCCAACAAAACAAATTTTTACAACTGAGTGGCAATTAGAGTCAAATGAAGTGACACTTTATTGTCATCAGTCTTCAAGTTCCCATTTCTTCTATCTCAACTGCTTCACTTAGTCTTTGGGTTTTCCAAACTAAATGTCTGTCATCCCTAACTTACCTCTGATTAAATTATAGCCTTTAACCTACGAGTACTGCCTTCTTGCATGACTTGATAGTTCAGTAGTCTGATTACACGTTAAGGTATTTTAATATATTAAAAGCAGAATTTTATAAAAAAAATTTTGTTCTCTCTACAAATTTTGCAACCCTACTCTCTTTTCTTACAGTAAAAACTGAAAAAAACTAATTGTAATATTAAGGTGAAATCAGACATATGAAACCACTGATCAAACTTGGTAAATCCATTTTGTTTACCAGTGGAGAAAAAGGTTTATTTAAGAAATATACAGAATGCTTTTATTTCAGCACCATTTTTTACTAAAGGAAAATGAAATTTGAAATAAGAGCATCCTATCCCAAAGTCACATGTTGAAAACTGTGCTGTAATAAGCAGATATTTAACAGAGAAAGAAACGGTATCTCGATCTCTGGCAACACTGATGTGCAAAATTAAATATTGAAGTAATAAGTAGATTGGAATCATTATTTAGGACATTAAGTTAGAATAAATTCAAAGAATCACTTGTGTGTGTCTTTCTAAGAGGGGTTGAGAATCTGTTTCAAAGTGCACAGCAAGGAGTTTCTCAGTGCTGCACTGGGAAGAACAATGGAAGCCAGAAAGATGTCCGACCCCCAAAGGAGCAGCCAGTGATTTTGTTACCGGGCAAACGGGCTTGGCCACCTGGTGCCTTCACATATGACCCAACAATTAGTGTTGAAGGAAATGTTTTTT